GGGTCCAGAGCGGTTTCAGCATAGATGATGTTACATTCTACCTTGCAGGAATACCTCCGCGCTAGCAGTTCTCCCGCTGTCTTTGAAATCCCCGTGCTTCACTTGGGTAGGTCTGCTTGAATTATTTGAGTATGCAGTCTGTCAGAGAGCTTTCGCCAACTCTCACCAGAGCTCCTAGGGATTAGCATTCATGAATACGCCTCGTGTTATTGGGGAGACCATATGAAGAAACAATTTAGCAGCTCCCTCTAACCGCTCGCACTCGTGCTGCTCACTCAATATCCTAACCATATCTCTGCCAACCTGTTCCTATTCTACCAGCACTGTTGTCACTGCTGGCGTCACCAATCGTCGTGCGGAGCATAATCCGGTAGATTCAGCGGGCTGCATTTCGCGGCATGTCTCGGCATCACCAAACTGATGGTCGCTTTGTTAGGGAGAGGAGCCCACGATGTAAATCAAGAAGATTCTAAGGGGAGAACACCATTGATACGCCTTTTACCGACTTAATCCAAAGGGAGAAATTCTAAACCTCTCAGCGTGACTCTGCCAGCCATTCCAGTCTTTTCCTTACCGATCTGTGAAAAAGAAAACCCCCCCCGCAATATGTGTGCGTGCATACATAACTGTATCGGTATTTTCCTGGGAGAGCGAGAAACACCGAAAAGGCCACTAAAACATTGTTTTTGTGAAATCCCTTGGGCGGCCTGAAACAGTCAAATTCGTATCAAGGCATGCTAAGCCTGTGTTGGAACGATTTGAGTTTTGAGATTCGCTAAGAACATCTACTAGTACGGTAAGCTGACCCTCGCAAGTGCTGAGTCATTTGAGCACTAAAAAGTCAGAAAAATCCTATTTTCTGACCAAGTAAAGCTAACTGCTACCCAATCTGGCCTTGGCGTGCCTTGATACGAATTTGACTGTCTCAGACCACCTAAGGGACAATATGAACAATTTGCCATTCGAGAGCTGTCATTTATTTATTTGAAAGTCCTGTTTTCGGTGAATGCGTCGGTGGTACAGTACGAGTAAAGTGTTTACGGTACAGGAGAAGCTGTGGTGTGGTGCATATTTGCTAACAATATTTCTGCAGGCTTCAAGTTTAGGCAGCCGGCAGTTCATTTCGGAACGGTTTATCGGTATCATATTATGACAGCTACCGTAGGGGGGTTGCAATGAACAAGGCTGTCAGGCTACCGTAAGAACTCGAATAATTGGACCCGGCACTAAGAAGTTCAATTAAAGTATTTGGTCCGAAATTGCGTGAAGGATGGAAAAACTAACCATTTAGAAGTGTCTTAGATGATCAATCATATGCTTTGACATATGATCATAAACCTCACTCCATGAGATAAATGTAAACAAGCCATGTAAATACGAGAAAAAAACCACAATTCCTATTCCTTGTGATGCTACCATCTTACCAGATTGCTTACCTTTTCCCCAATACAATGACCCCAAGACAAGCAGGTTGTATCCAAGTCCATCCAATTCTCCCTGCCCTATCAGCTGAAAGATTCTACACTGGAGACAAGAAAAAGCCAGGCTCAAAACTCAAGCAACTAGCTGAAAGCCTAAGAACCGCTCCTCAATGCATTGAATATCCCAATAGATTATACAAAGTTAGCTATAAGGTAAGGGAATTGTCATATTGGGTGGTGCCAAGTATTCCTATAGGATGGATTCAGTTATGGAAGCCAACAAGAGTAGAAACAGCAGCATGTTTTGGGGTTTCAGAGGTAAACCTTTCACATTGGAGAAAGGAGGAAAAGGAAGGAAAGTTCCAGGGACTCAGTCTTGAGCAGTATGAGGAACTGGGAGGAGGAAGAAAATGAAAGTGGGAGATGATGGAAAGGGAATTATACGACAAGTTTCAGTATCGGTGGGCATCAGGAGGGATCATTCAGTGTGGCTAGTTCAGATGAGTTGGTAAGGAGCTTTATATCCAACATCACCCAGAGGAATGTCAAACCTCATTTTACTTTTCAAATGGGTGGTTTTGACAGTTCTTAAGCTTCCATCAAGTTAGTTTATACTTTATGACCAATACTGCAAGTAAACTGCCTAGTGACTTCAGTGAAGTCATATTAAATTGAATGCAATTCAATAGGAGAAACTCACAGCTATGGCCTGGTGATGGCTATTAACCCAGTGATGTCTCTACAGATATAGGTTAATATAAGCTAGCAAATACAGTTAATATGGATCAGACACCTTTGCCATTTCAATACTTGGAGGGAAGAACTTATGATCAGTGTGGGGAGAAGACAATATGGGCCCAGAGTTCCCAGTCCAGTTGGGACAAATAGCAAGCAACAATTCAACTTACCACTTTTGCTGATGGTATATCATGTATGAAGTCATTAGTTTTCTTTCACAGAATCAGAGTAGGGGCCACAATACTTACAGAAAGAGAGAATTATGACACACATGTGGTTGTTAAATTCAACCCCAAAGCCTATGTGAACTTGTCCACTATTGTAAAATGGTTGGATGAGCAGCTTGTTCCAGTGCTTGAGAGCTGCCCAACCCTTCTTGTGCTCAACCTCTTCAGTCCTCATAAGACCAAAGAGGATCTCAATACCTTTTCTGTAAATGATCTTATTGTTAGCATGATCTCAGGAGGCTGCACTGCATTAGTACAGCCTCTTGATGTCTCTATAAATTGACCATTTAAAGACATATTGAAGATGATGTTAGGCATATGGAAAAAAGGGCCAAAGTTACCTGGCCTTTACATAGGATTATTTCTACCATGCCCCTGCAGCCCCCATATAGGGACCGGGCGTCATTACGGTATTTCGGTCGAGTTGCGTCCCGACACTTTAGCCACAATAAATGGCACCTTCAGCATAACACCATATACGTCGTCGCCGTCCGTCCGACCGGATGCTGTCCGTAGGATATATGAGAGGGCACCTTTGGCGACTCATGGGAAGTGACTCGGAGGAATTTGGTTAGGTTTTGAGCAAGCTATTATCTTGTACATTAGCAGTTAAATATTATGGCTGATAAGTGATGGGACGATCTGGGAAAAAACCTTAGTGACCGAATATCGTGAGCCTATGGCACTGACGGGTAGCCATAGAGCCGAGCCTTTTGCTTTGAAAGAAGTAGTGCCCCAAGAGGGCCTACTCGAGAATCGGTATGAGAGGTTTTCGCTGGATAAGCTATTGGCTCGATCCAGAGCAAAAAACCCTATATATCCGATGGGCCTTGTGATGCATCAATATGCGACACAATGGCCGCGCTCATTCATTAAAGCTGATCACTTTATGTTTTGAGGCAGAACAATTGGTATAGTTGCCATTAGGGCGGCATACTCAAATTAAGTTCATATAGTGGAGAGATCGAAGGCTACCTACTGGAGGGGTGTTCACACCCCCCAGAAACAATAGGAGTTCGAAGAGATCAAAGCTAAGCAAGGCAAATATTCTCAGGGTCAAGGGTGTTCGCACTTAAGAAAGTTAAGAGGTTTTTGATGGAGGTACTTAGATAGTATGGGAGTTGGTTGTAGCCCGCGATAACCCAGACGCGGAATATAAATATCAAGGTACTCCCAGCTATCAGAAACATCAAGCAACGGAGAAGAGATCTTATTAATATATTTATTACCTTACTCTTAAAGAAAAAAAACTATTATTACACATATCCTTTATAAATACTTCGGGAAATACGAGCCTACCTTAACGATCTTCGTTTTATCCTACTTTACATTATTTCAAGAAGCCTACGGCCTAGACCTACCGGCCCTATCTACAGTTGGACTACCCCAAAACAGATGAGTCCACCTACCTTTAAAATCTGAAGAAGAAAAAAAAACTAAAAATCAAGTAGGAAGTACTTGAGGAAAGGTTAGATGTCATGGAGGGAGAGGAGGAGGAAATTCTATTAGTAGGAGGAAGGCTAACAGGAAGTATGATTGGACATAGGAGGGTACTTACTATATGGGCAGTAGGGGAAGCCTGGGAGCACTTCTCCCATGATCATAAGGAAGTACTAGCCGGTTTTTTAAGTATCCGAACACCTGGGTGCTAAGGTTGGGCTTTTCAGCGAATATTTCAGGCCATGGCACCAAGGTGTCCGGATACTTAAAAAACAGGCTAGTAGTTGTTAAGGTTTTCTGGGTTCTAGGTATTTCACTACCAATTAGTGGTGCTTTTGACCAGGAAATCTCTATAAAGTGGATTGATTCAACTTTCCTAATTAATGGGCTTCAAAATTGGCAAGAAGCAGGGGGATTAGAGGAGCATGAGGTAGAATTGGACAAAGGAGAGGATGAAAATGATGTATTCTATGGGGGGAATGGGCATTTCTAAAATCTGAAACTGATATTGCGTAATACTTCTTGGCATGCTATACTTTAATTGAACCTCTTAGTGCCAGGTCCAATTATTCGAGTTCTTACGGTAATATATCGGTTGAGATGGTATCTTTGCCATGAGGCTCTGCCAAGCTTTTTACAACAGGGATTTTTGTGGGTCGAATGACATTGTACGACTTTTGTTAATAATAGCGACACTACCGGTATTTTCCTCAAGAGGGATTACCATAGTACCAGAAACCATCGAAAGCCTTATTCTATGACCTGCAATTACGAATCTCCCTTCCGAGGCCCAAAGGGCCTGAGCAGAAACAGCCCAAAGAAAGGTGCGGTAAGCGACACGGATCCAAAGTCATCTTTTTGTCAAAAGTTCGAATAATTCACCCGGATTCAAGCCCAAGATTGAAAACAAACCCACCACTAGAATTTTTCGAATCCCCAATTGAACTTAAAATCATTCGAGCTAAAATACAATTTACCTTCCTTCCTTCCTTATACCTTATATTGTTAATACAGTAGCTTAGTTTTTGTAGGGAATCATTAGTGTTGTAAAATTTCAAGAGAAATTCAAAAACGAGTGATATAACGTGAATTGTAATAACCCTTTGTGGGTTAGGAATCGTGAGTTTTTGGTCAAGATATTTATAGATACATTTGGCGGAATAGCTTTTATCAATATTTGGCAGCATAGTGGTTAGTATATCTGCCTGTCCGTTAACCCTGCACGCAGATGACCTGGGTGCAATTCCCTGCCAAAGAGATCTCTTTTTTTGTTTTTGTTCTGGATATTTCTGCGCATCCAGTACACCCACATTGGCAAAGTCTTCGCGGAAAGAGAGGTGCTGTGGCATGGTCTTGGCGGTAACAAAAGTACCACTACAAGGCGTTGCCGGATACAGATCCAAATTATGCAGGGTAACGAACTTACCCATTAAGTTTGACAATGGTGCTTCTACATACTCAAGCTTACTGTTCGCGATATGGAAGTAACTGCTATATTGCTTTGATGTCAGATCTAGGAATGAGCTATGAGCTGGTAGCTAGAGAGCGCAGTCTTCCACCATCAACAATTCGAAGTGTTGTCAAGAGATACCGAACTCGAGACCACGTACATGATGCACCATGATCAGGATGACCTTCTGCGAGGTCATATTAAGGGGTAGCTTCAGAATATACTAATTTGTGGGTTTCTTGTAGAGTAGACCTCCACCAAGTTACTAGCAATGGGGGTGTTATCGTTAAATATAAAATTTAGTCATTCTGTACCTGGCGATCTCTTGTATTGCTACTTTCATTGCCGTCAAGACCCTGCTACAGTACCTCTCTTTCCGCGAAGACTTTGCGAACGTGGGTATACTGGATGCGCGGAAATATCCCGAACTAAAACAGAAAAAGAGATCTCTTTGGTGGGGAATTGAACCAAACAAGGGTATCTGGTGTGGAAAAAGGGAAATCGTCCAAGTAGTGTAACAAAATATTACTTGTTACTGATCCCTGTTCGTCACAGTGGGTATTATACGGTGAAGACTGTACCTAGTAGTCCTTAGGTACATGTCATATCTTACCGTGGCGGGAGCGGCATGCTGTCGGCTGCATGGGGTACCGGTATCCTATCATTTGTTTTGGAGCCCACACACACCCTAAGTTATTAACTCAGGAGTGAGTGGTGAGCGTGGGTAATCAATATTCTCTGGTAATTTATTGGCCTGGTCACGGTGGACCTGACCATTCTTTACCTATTCTCGTTAGACCAAGATATTATCTCCACACTATTTGCAGTGTGGCTGGGCCTGAAAAAAAGCAGACGAAGGGATTCCCCTTAACTGTACCAAAGTTCCTGATACCTTAAGAACCATCTGCCCCCACCATGATTCGCTAAGTTGGGTTTTGTGGGGGAGAAGTCGATATTTTTCCCAACATCAATGTGGTGAACTACCAACTACCGCACCTTCCCAGATTTATTAGAAATCCCAGCTCAGACTGACTACTCCTTCGTCACACTTATAAACTCATGTAAACTCGTATTAGTTAGTCTTTAAAAGTAAAACTTGTTTATTAAACAACTCTCATTCTCTCCTCTAGCAATAAAAATAAAACACATTATAGCTATGCAACCAGCCTCTATACGATCACCTCTAATTTCCATCTAAAGTAAAACAAACCCATTCTGCATGTGCTTGTCTGCTATACCACCAGCCCAGTGAGCATGTGTACGAATAGTCTCGTGTACATATAGCCTCTTAAAATCTGAACCAAAGGGCTAACCAGATGGCTTACCAAGAGATCACTTCTCGCATTTCGTAAGGCTCGCAAGCATGCTACCACACTTCTCTGGTCTCGTGAGACAACCCCAATATGGTTCTGCTTTGTGCAAAAACGGTTTCATGGGTTCCGTATCTCCCTTCAAAGCCTTCATCATAGACTCTGCCCCTTCCACAATGACCACTTGAGCCACTTTGACCTCATTCTGAACGACGACCATCTCTTCCTTTCAATTCACTCAATTCATGCTTGATATTTGTCAATTCAGCCAATTCACCCTGGATATTTCCAGTGAATGCAAGCGGCCAGTCCGTCCGGCTTTGGGTACGGCCGGACTGGCCCAGGCTTTTTTAGGGACGGCCGGGCCGGACTGTGGGAAAGTGGCTTTTCAAAACCAAAGCCGGGCCCAGCCTGGGTCACCTGCAGGCCGAGGTTTCAAGTGATAGCTTGTGTTTCATTGTGAAGAAAAAGTTTATTATTCAACTGGACTAATTTTTCATAACACTATTTCTATAACCCTTCAAGCATTGTCTCTACATGATCTAGTTCCTCTGTATCTAGCAAGGCTGCTTTCCCTCATGACCTCAAACATTCTACAGACTCGATAGCATTGTCACTAAGACGGTTACACCGATCAGTAATTAGAATCCGAGAACTGTTGGCGGGAGGAATTGCTGATACACAGTGAAAAAGTAGTCGGACAAAAGATATCTGTAAATATGTATTCACCCAAGATGGTTACAGAGTTGTGCGAAGAATTGTTTAGAGGGTCTTGCGGTTGGACAGTATATGGGTTGAGTAGATGTGGGTATCGTGGTGGCTGATCGGTAGATGACCTTGAATTGTCTTAAGAGAAATCTATAGTACTGGGAGGAGGTTGTTTTTATTCTTGTTCTCGGAGTAATTAAAAGGAAAAAACCTGTAGCCCATTCACAGATATCTTCAGATTACCTGGGCATCTGGCGGCTTTGACCTGGGTTGCTTCAAGATTCGACCTGGCGGTTGCCTGGGCACCGCCGGGCTTTGGCGGCTGCTGATAATTTTGACCGGACTGACCTAGGCTTTTTAAAACTACGGCCGGACTGGCCGCTTGGGATCACTGGATATTTCTCACTTCAACCAAATCGCCCTTGATATCATTGCGTCCATATACTGCATTGGTAATGGCCCCGGTTGTAGCACCGAAACTGGCGACAAGAGTTTCATGCCTATCCCTTCGTTCATCTGCGTTTTTCAGGCCCAGGAACACCTCAAATAGAGTGTAGATACAATCTTAGTCTAACGAGAATAGGTAAAGAAAGATCAAGTCCACCGTGACCGGGCCAATAAATTAACAGAGAATGTCGACGACCTACACTCGCCACTGGTATTGACGTCACTACTGAGTTAACAACTTGGGGTGTGTGTGGGCTCGAAAATGAACGAGGGGGTAAACTCCACCTACAAAACACGATCAGTTAGTAAATGGCTGATTTATGGTTCCGCTCACGATAAACCAACGTTTTGTCTCATTGGCCCTGGGGAAAAGAATAAATAAATATCGGTAGCGGGATGAAGTGTAAAGGGGTAAGTCCACTTAAATAGAGGGTTTGCGCATGAAGACCTAGGTGGCAGTTAGCAGAAAATAGAGCAAGGTGTAAGAATAAATGTGTAGGTGTAGGTAGCTTGGCGGCCGGGTAGCAGTAGCATTAGGGCGTCGCAAAGAATATCTTAATTCAAATAAACAAGTAAAAAAAGAGACAAAACTGTGGAATATCGTGGCGTTCATGCGGCAGATCGTATTATCGGTCAAAATGGCTATGGGCTAGCTGGCGAGGAAACGGATTGGCTGGAGGACGACGAGATGTCGATTGGTATCCTATAACAGTGACATGGGTGATTTGTCGATATGATAGTACTTCATGTCGGAAGTGACGGGAAAAGGAGTTAAGGATATGACGGATATTATACCGGGATATAATATCTACCGGAGATAAGACAACGGAGATAGTAAAAGGTGAGGATGCTCGGGAGATAAGGGACTTACCGGCATCCTGGTATTAAGGGATTTAAGGATATAAGGTTAGGGTTGATATTGAGAATATCAATGGGCATGCAAAGAAGTAGTTAGGAACATTGGTATATAAACCTGAGCTATTGTCCGTAACTTTGCAATAAATAAGCTCCACCGAAAGTTCATAATTCACAGGGTGGCAGAGGTCATATTAGACTAGGGTATCGATCATGTGCTTCCCCGCTCACCATGTCAACATTCTTGGGCTATAGGGAGAATATGTGGGGGCCTCCCCTGAGGCTCTGCGTGTACTGCATGGAGATTTGGCTAAGTTTAGTTTAGTGCAGTGTTGTCGGACTCGTGGATCGCCTATAGGTACATTACGACAAATTGGGTGGGCTTCTTTGGTGGAGTGGAGACTGGGTCCCAGTCTTGTATTTATAGTGTCCTATATTCCTTGACAATAATCAAGGAAGACTGCCCCCTCAACACCTTACATGAGAGGTTTCCTATAGTGGGGATGAAGAATCAATAGTTTTTATGATGCTGTACGCAACATCAACGTAGCGTACCAACCATCTTGGTAGTCTCAAAACAGAAAACTTTTGACAATTCCGTTTTCTGGCCTCCTTTTCATTGCAAAATGGATGGCAATTGCATCCTCACAAAAGACCGTAGGCAATGATATCTCCAAGTCAACACCATCATCTGTCTCCCTATCTTGCGCTCTGCTCCCTTTATCCCAACCCGGCAATATCATTATTGACTAACAGCCTCCCAACCAAATCACAAATGTTATTACAAGGCTTCTTCACACAATGATACACCCACCAGCTAATATTTTGCTGGAAATGTGTTTAAATCCCGATTAAGATATCAACTTCAAATATAAGCAAGAAAAAACAAACAGCCTCCAAAGTAGCCATCACCATTCCAATAATATACTCCCTGGCTTATTTCTACAATCATTTATAAACTCTACCATAACCGGCGGAACAATGCGATGATGGGAGTATGATGGGATGTGCATAAGACGAACAACGGCTGCCGGAATGTAATACTTGTATGGTAAGCAGATTGCAGTTCAGAGAATAGCAAAAAGTCTTCATGAAAAAAATATTTTAAACTGACTTTTCCTTGGGGTATTCTCTCTCTGGCCTGGAAGGTACTGCACTCAGACTCTCGTTGTAAAAACAAAAAAAAGGTGGAAACAATGGACGGGGAAGCGGAGTCAAAGAAGCGACCTCTATCCTGGCCAGAGCATTAGTTCACTCATCCGTGAGGTTGATATTCAGCATTGTTTACCGGGTAGCCGGAGGAACTATTTGGTAGTCCATGAAAACGAGCATTAGCCAGCACAAACTCTCAAAAATCAACAGCAAAGAATAAGGAATTGGGGGGTGAGCTGCAAGAATGCAAAACAAGGGTGATTTTTTTCCAGGGCTCGAACCGGGGACCACCTGTGTGTTAGACTGGTGTGATAACTAACTACACCACGATACCACATGACCAACATTAATCCAACCCCCACATCAAATCTTAACCAGGATATGATAAGTCACATACCAGCACCTTTCGGTAAAAACTCGAATACATGGATAATATTCCAGGACATTGGAGTTGCCTCTCCTAGTACGGTCAGGCTTTTTTCTTCTTTTTATCCGTCTCAGGTGGTCGTTTTTTGGCAGACAGATTGTTGAATTGGTGTTTTTGGCACTGAACTATCCCCTGCAGCATTGTTACTGACGAATTTCCCTACATCACGCTAAGATTCTTCTAGCAGTACCTTTCTCAGGCAGAACCCAGAAGCGGTAGCAATGCATCGTAGTATCCGGTATGGGGTAATAGCAGTTACGCATGGGAGATCAAAAATACGCCAGAAAGATTCTGCCACTGTTGTCAGCTCATTTAGCTCTGTGGAGTCGATTACCCTTTTGATATCCTGCGTACTTCTCAGTGCACCATCATATTTGAAGGTATAATTACAAACCTGACAGTAGGATACCGTATCATATGCCTCTTTCTAGTATCTGGTCAACACCGACAAAAGTTGCCAAAGATTAGTGGGATGGACGGAAATTCCGCAATTTGAGCACTGTATGAGATAATGCATTGTTTCCTTCTGACTACGGACTGTCTATCCCCTCCACCTAAAGCACTTGGTGGTGAGCAGGATAGATAGTCGAACTGTATAAGCTTCGGTGGAGAATGGCCTGCCTTTTGACCTTTCTGGAAATCATATCAGCATAAGCGGTACTTTTTACTTGCTTTGCTTGAGCTTAGTAATTCAGGTTGCATATAGATGGAGGTTTATAGGATCATTTAGCTGATAGAATTGCTGGTATTGAGTGTGCGGGCGTAAGGTGCAGGCTCAAGTTAAAACTAAGCAATGGGGCGATGTAGTTTGAAGTCACTTGATTTGCTAGCTAACGTCATTTATCCATTAGCGGCTCGGTACCGTTATCCGGCTGGGCGCCAAGCATGCGTTTCGAGCCTACCCTGCTTCGCATGAAATGTGGTATGGAGATCGCTTAGGGGTGTCAAACAACACCAAACTTTGCATCATGCCACAGATGAAGGTAGGAAAGAAGGACGAAGTAGAAGGAAGGATTCAGAAGGGGATTCAGCACTACCAACATAGTGATAAGCCTTCACTCCGGGCGTCAGCAGAGAAATTCGGTATTGCCTACTCAACCTTGAGAAGTAGGCTTGCAGGAAGGCAATCATGAGCCACAGGACATCACAAGTGACAGGTGTTATCAGAATATAAGGAGAGATCCATTGTGAGATGGTGTGAGAGGCTGGAGGAGTGGGGTCATCCCACCCATTTGAATGTGGTTAAGGGAATAGCAGAGGCCATGATCACTTGTCAGGTAAAAGATCACATGTTGGGAAAGTATTAGGTAAAGTGATTTCTCCAGTACCATCCCATATTGGCTACTATGCTAGGAACCAGGCTAGATTGCCAGTGGGCTCTCGCCAGTAATCCAGCTGTGTTGAAGAATTATTTCAATAAGGTATGAGCGGAGCCCATTACCAGTAATAATAGTAGCTGATTGTGAATCTAGTTACAGAATCTTATTAAATCTTATAACATATCACCGGAGAATATATACAACTTGGATGAGAAAGGTTTTATGATGGGGGTAGCCTTGTATTGCAAGATTATCTGTAACTGAAGAAAGAGTACTGTATGGCAAAATTGACAGAAGATGGCTCCTGGGAATAGGTTACTGTTATTGAAACAGTATCTGGTGTTGGCAATGTCCTCCATCCTATGATTATAAACAAAGGTAAAGCCCACTATATTGGCTGGTATGCTAAGTTAAAAAAAAAAGATTTGGCTACTTTTGGGGTTTCAGAAAAGGGCTGAAGTAATAAATCTCTGGAGTTGTGGTGGCTCAAAGAGGTTTTTGATCAAGAAACAAGGGAAAGGTATCCACCACAGTACAGAATACAGCTTAAAGATTTGCTAACTGAGTTCCACTATATAGCATAGGCCAAGATTACCGCCTCCTCATTCTGGAGGGGCACACCTCTTATCTTAATTGAGAATTCTTCGATCATTGCCTCCAGGCAAAACTCCTTCTGCCATGCCTTCCTATCCACTCAATACACCTCCAACCAATGGATGTTGGCTTGTTTAGCCCACTCCAGCATCATTACAGCAATGGCCTTGATTGCTTTATTCACAAAGGTCATACTAGTATGAATAAAGGAGAGTTTTTGTCATTTGTTACTGCTTTCTGTCTCCACACAACCACCATTACCCCGCACTTTTTTTTTTAATAAAATTAACTTGAACCTCTAGAAAAACAGTGTTCTCATGCCTTCTTGGTGACTAGCATTTACAGCTCAGAATATCCTAAGCGCTTGGGAAGCAGTAGGCATAATTTCTTTTAATCCCCACCGGGTAATTGGAATGGTCAAGAGAAAGGAAAACAAGTTTGTGCAAGAAAAAGGCTTGGCTGGTGAGGAGAGGCATCAAGTTCTCCAAACTCCTTGCGCTGTTAGTTGCATCACCAGAATAGCTACTTCCCTTGTCACAAGAGCTACTCCTACCTCATTAAAGCTTAAAGAGCTCTTATTGAACCTCTCTGAAGGCTTCCAACAAACAATAGCTGACAAGGTTCTGGAGGAGGAGACCCATCGAGAATACTGTAAGTTAATGGGAAAAGAAAAAGAAAAAAATACTAGTGATCAGTGCAAGCTTACAGAAGCTACAGTAGTGACTTCAGAAACAGTTCTGGGCTCATGTCAGGAGTGGGAGAGGGTGGATGCAGCTCAGGCTACTCAAATTACTAACTCCTAGGGATGCTCAGTTAAACCCCCTCTTTCATGAAGGGAGCCTCTCAGGAGGAGATATCCAGTTAGGAAAATGGGGAGGTAAGAGGATTGACGATGGCCAAAGGGGTGCTGGTAGATGAGGCAGCTGATCTTTGGAAGGAAATGGAGGCATTGGAGGTTGGTGGGGAGAGCAGTGTTGAGAATAGTAGAGGGGTTGTCGGGAATGTGATTGTGGTCAGGAGGTGACATTAATTGTCACTTAGGTAAAAGAATTGGGATAATTCAGGGATTATTAAAGCTTTCATTAGTATCAGGATATCATCTGGGATTGCAGAAAGGTAGATAATCTGTGATTTTAGTTGTTTTTTTGGATTGGAAAAGGTGGTTGGACCCCCTCCTCTGGTGGTGCCAATTGCACTATCAACACTGAGCTGGATATGAGTTAAGAGCTGTTACACCGTAAATGATGTTATGGAGTACAGTTGACATGAGCACCTACTTGGCTGTAAATATATTTAAGGATAGAAGTAGGTTGACTGTGCCTGAGATGAGGGCGATGATAAACTGGCCTCCAATGAATCTTACAAGGAAAAAAGGCAAGCATTGAATGCAAACCTTGAGAAATCTGAGAGAATGACATCCTGATAAAGCGGCCTGCAGTATGAGAAATAGAAGGAAATAGAGGAGGTTAAAGAACCGGAGCAGTAGTTTTACCTATTGTCTTCGTATAGCATTGGTGGTGGGGGTGGGGGGGTGGTTAGGCAAGGAAGGAAGGTTCCGGGTGCTTTTTATTTCACAAGCGAGTGGCATGTCAGATGAAATTGTGACAGGACAGTGTAAATGAACATAACCATAATCCTGACATTTGTGAACGCAAATGCTATTGCATATGGGCTAAAATTGAACTGGAGCCTCAAGATCTTGGTGGTATGCAATAGGAGTTTCACAAACCTCAGGCCATTACAAGTATCGGTTATGCATTGATCTTCAGTGGGTATGTGGTTTCGTGGTGTAGTTGGTTTATACACCAGGAAACTGTACAACCATTCATCGCCTCCCCCCTAAACCCGAATCGGGAAGTGATGAATCAGCCATTGGTTGAACCAGCATTGGCGATTGAAAAATAATCAATGTCTCCCTACTCCCGTAACCCCAACTGAGAAGCATTTCGCAGAGCCTGGGCTGCATAAGTAGTAGCCCTTCCCACCTCTCAAATTAACATGCTTTGTTGGTGGTTATCACATCAGTCTAATACACTGGTGGTCCCAGGTTCAAGGTAATCGATAATGGTGCGTGAGGCTGACTGGAAGAACAGCAAGAGTGGTAAAACTCGATGGAGAAACAACTTTGAGATGATTACCAGGGCGTAGAAAAGAGAGTGGTTAAGATAGGTAAAGAGCGTAGTGAAGAGTAATCCTTGTTATTCTTATTGAACTATGTGCGGTATCCCGGTGTTTAAATACACAGAAACGAGAAACAGTTACGACTGAAAGATGTGGAAACATAAACGTAACTGTGATACACTCTAACAATCAACGACACTCATGTCCATCACTTGTTATAAATAAAACTCATAAAAGGAAAGTATATGCAAAAGCTAAGTTATCTGAAAATAGAAATGATGTGACTATAATAGTCGGAAGAGTGTCGCAATTACAACCAAATAACTATCCCAAGTTCTAACTAACTATTGCGCTATTTTAGCAGAGGGAAAGTACCTCATCACCCTCAATCTTCAACACAAGGCCCAGGCGAAATCGGCTTTTCTCCTCTCTTGAGGCTGGTTATTACTTTTACTCTGAACTAGATTTAGTTCCTTTCACAGTATTTTTCCAATTATGGCCCCTCGTTTTAGTTAGGGTGCAATTTATTATAAGCCTAAACCCTTGATGGTTGTTTCTCGGGAAGGGCTGAGAGTGGGTCGTACGAGACAAAAAGTATGGAAAACTGATGGAAATATAAAAGGAAAAAGTGGAAAGTGAAAAGGATGGAGGGGAGTAAGTACATACCCTCCTGGGAGGTGGATTTGGAGGTATCAGTATCATACTGGTAGATATCATGCACCATTGGGGGGAGGGGGTGCCAGTAAGCTAGGGTGCTGGGTACGTGATTGGAAAAGAAAAACAAATAGGGTTCGGGTTGTGCAAGGTGCAATAAAGGGGTATAGGTTATAGTAGAGTATGAAAGGACGCTAGGGGCTATTCACTCATATGATA